ACCGGAAGTCTGATTCGAATTTGGTTTTCAGATTCGGAATCCTGAGAAAATTTCCTATAAGACTAATATCCTCGACATTTGATTCGGAGAACTTTTTTTTGAACCTCGTTTTCGGACACTGATATCTCGAATTCGGTTTGAGATATCAAAAAACTAAATCGACCCTAGCTTTCCTACTTTTTTATAAGGAACACAATGGAAAAAACCCGGATCAAAAATATTGAAGGACGACCGAGAAAATCGAAAAAAGTGACAAAGTACTGGATTTGACCTAGTTCTTGACCTTTGACCTAGATAAAAATTTGACCCAATTTCCCACCAACTAGATACTGAACCTAAATAAACTGTATTATGATCTTTACTGGATACCTTATAGTTATTGAAAAAACTCTTAAAGAAAAATAATAATAATAATAACTAGACATGTAAATTGAACAAGTTCAATTTAAGACTCCAGATTAAAAACTTTTTTTAAGGTGAGTCATCCAAAATACTGTTAGCTGAGCCATTCAGAATAAGCTGAGTCATCTAGAATACAGACATTTAGACAACTTTTAAGTAGCTTATCTTCGTCTACATTGGCTTAACATGGGGATATCATAATATCGACTTTTCGAGACTTCAAACAGCTATAACTATCTAACCAGAATTTGGGTCGAAATTTGGTTTGCAGATTCGAATTTCTGAGAAAATTCTATGTTTGTGTCATAACTCATACATTAAATTTTGAAAATTTTTTATGTTGACCTACTTTCCGGACGCCATTCCTCAAAATCGGTAAGAGTAATAAAAAAAGACAGTTACAATAATGAAAGGACTGTCTTTAAGCTACATGATGAAAAAAAGATAAAGGAATAACGACGAATAGTGACAAAGATAATTGACATAACATGGGATATCAAAATACCAATTTTTTAATTTTTCAAAACGCCATTTCTTCCAAACCGGGTGTCGGATTGAAATTTGATTTGCAGATTCGGATTCCTGAGAAAATTCTACCCTTAATGCATAACTCATACGTTAAATTTGGAGAAACTTTCATGTTGACCTACTTTTCTGACACTATATCTCAAAAGTGGGTCAAAATACTTTCTGACGGCAAAAGGCTAACACTATTAGCACACTCTTTGCTACCTGTATACAAAATTTTGAAGCAAATAATTAAAGTGTAGTGTCAGAATCGCAAAAATAAGTTAAAACTTTAAATTTGACCTAGATTTTGACCTAGTCATTTTGGTGACCAAATTGTGAGGCTAGCTAGCTTTTGAGGTCACTTTCTTTTATAGGCTTTCATTATGTGAAGCTGTACTCAGTCTTTATCTCGTATTTTACACTTCAAAAAAATCTTTTTTCCCATTGCCATAACATGGGGCACCAAATTTAGCGATTTTTGAGCTTTCAAAACGACATAAATTCCAAACCAAAAGTCGGATTGAAATTTGGTTTGCAGATTTGGATTTCTGAGAAAATTCTACCCTCAATTCATAACTCATACGTTAAATTCGGAGAACTTTTTAGTTTGACCTACTTTTCGGACACCATATCTCAAAAGTGGGTCAAAATACTCTCTGACGGCAAAAGGCTAACACTATTAGCACACTCTTGGCTACATGTATACAAATTTTCGAAGAATATAATTAATCTGTAGTGTCAGAATCGCAAAAATAAGGAAAAACTTTGAATTTGACCTAGATTTTGACCTAGGCATTTTGGTGTCCAAATTTTTATGAAAAGAAGGTCTCGTGGTCCCTTTCTTTTATGGGCTTCCATTATGTTTAGCTGTGCTTAGTCTATATCTCGTATTTTACACTTCAAAAAAATATTTTTTCCCATTGAATTAACATGGGGCACCAAATTTAGCGATTTTTGAATTTTCAAAACGCCATAACTTCTGAACCGGAAGTCAAATCGAAATTTGGTTTTCAGATTCGGAATCCTGAGAAAATTTCCCATAAGACTCTCATCCTCGACATTGGATTTGGTGAAATTTTTTTTGGACCTCGTTTTCGGACACTGATATCTCGAAATCGGTTTGAGATACCAAAAAACTAATTCGACCCTAGGTTTTCTACTTTTTTATGAGGAACACAATGAAAAAAACCAGGATCAAAAATATTGAAGGACGACCGAGATAATGGGAAAAAGTGACAAAGTACTGGATTTGACCTAGTTCTTGACCTTTGACCTAGATAAAAATTTGACCTAATTTCCCAGAAAGCCGGATACAGTCTTAAGTTAACCATGTAAGTTGGATTAAGTAAGCTGTTATAGTTGACGAGAAATTTGGTGAGGAGGAAGAAAAAAGAATAATAATAAAGAAAACAGGCAAAAACAATAGACTCCAGATTTTCAATCTGGAGTCTAATAAGAAGAAGAAGAAGAAGAATACTGGCAAAAACAATAGACTCCAGATTGACATCTGGAGTCTAATAAGAATACTGGCAAAAACAATAGACTCCAGATTGACATCTGGAGTCTAATAATAATAATAACTAGATTTGTGAAATTGAACAAGTTCAATTTAAGACTCCAGATTTATTTGACCTAGATAGATCAGTAAAGAGCTGAGTAAGTAACTGAGTAATTAGCTGAGTAAGTACCTTAGTAGTAGTTGAGTAAGTAGCTGAGTAAGTAACTGAGTAAAAAGCTGAGTAGGTAGCTGAGTAAGTAGCTGAGTAAGTACCTGAGTTAGTAGCTGAGTAAGTTGCTAAGGAAGTAATAACCAATTAAGTAATTGAGTAAGTAGTCAAATAAGTAGCTGAGTAGGTAGAGAGGTAAAGTAGGGTATGCAGGAATTTTTGAAAGTATATTTGATCAATCTGCATCGTGAATACTGGCAAGTGCGAATTTCAAACTTCAAAATGGCGTAGAATCTAAACCGGGGGTCGGATTGCAATTTTAATTTCAGATCCAGATTCCTGAGGAAATTCTACCCCTAATTCATAACTCATACTTTAAAATTGGAGAACTTTTTATTTTGACCTACATTTCGGACACCATATCTCAAAAGTGGGTCAAAAAACTTATTGACGGCAAAATGTTAACATTATTAGCACACTCTTTGCTACAAGTTTACAAAATTTCGGAGAATATCATTGAAGTGTAGTGTCAGAATCGCAAAATAAAAAAAACTATGAATTTGACCTAGATTTTGAACTAGGTATTTTGGTGTCCAAACTTTGAAGGAAAGTAGCTTTTGAGGTCCCCTTCTTCTATGGGCTTTCATTATGTTTAGCTGTACTCATTCTATATCTCGTATTTTTATACTTCAAAAAATTATTAGGTCCCATTGATTTAACATGGGGCACCAAATTTAGCGATTTTTGAGATTTCAAAACGCCATAACTTCAGAACAAGTAGTCGGATCGAAATTTGGTTTGCAGATCTAGATTTCTGAGAAAATTCTACCCTTAATTCATAACTCATACGTTAAATTTGGAAAACTTTTAACTTTGGCCTACTTTTCGGACACCATATCTCAAAAGTGGGTCAAAATACTTTCTGAAGGCAAAACGCTAGCACTATTAGCATACTCTTTGCTACCTGTATACAAAATTTTAAAGCAAATCATTTAAATATAGTGTCAGAATCGCAAAAATAAGGGAAGACTATAAATTTGACCTAGATTTTGACCTAGGCATTTTGGTGTCCAAATTTTGGAGCTAAGTAGCCTTCGAGGTCCCCTTCTTTAATAGGCTTTCATTATATTAAGCTGTACTCAGTCTATATCTCGTATTTTACACTTCAAAAAAATCTTTTTTCCCATTGACATAACATGGGGCAGCAAATTTAGCGATTTTTGAGCTTTCAAAACACCATAACTTCCGAACAGGAGGTCGAATCAAAATTTGATTTGCAGATTCGGATTCCTGATAAAATTCTACCCCTTATTCATAACTCATACGTTACATTTGAAGATTTTTTTATTTTGACCTACTTTTGGGACACCATTTCTCAAAAGTGGGTCAAAATACTTTTTGACGGCAAAAGGCTAACACTATAAGCACACTCTTGGCTACATGTATACACAATTTCGAAGAATATAATTGAAGTGTAGTGTCAGAATCGCAAAAATAAGGAAAAGCTTTGAATTTGACCTAGATTTTGACCTAGGCATTTTGTTGTCCACATTTTCAAAATTAGAAGGTTTTGAGGTCCCCTTCTTTTATGGGCTTCCATTATGTTTAGCTGTACTTAGTCTATATCTCGTATTTTACACTTCAAAAAAATATTTTTTCCCATTGACATAACATGGGGCACCAAATTTAGCGATTTTTGAGCTTTCAAAACGCCATAACTTCCGAACCGGAAGTCGGATCGAAATTTGGTTTGCAGATTTGGATTCCAGAGAAAATTCTATCCTTAATTCATAGCTCATACGTTAAATTTGGTAACTTTTTATTTTGACCTACTTTTCGGACACGCCATAACTTCCAAACCGGAAGTCGGATCGAAATTTGGTTTGCAGATTCGGATTCCTGAGAAAATTCTATACTTAATTCATAACTCAAATGTCAAATTTTGAGAATTTTTTATTTTGACCTACTTTTCGGACACCATATCTCAAAAGCTACATGTATAGAAAATTTTGAAGAATATAATTAATCTGTTGTGTCAGAATCGCAAAAATAAGGAAAAACTTTGAATTTGACCTAGATTTTGACCTAGGCATTTTGGTGTCCAAATTTTGAAGCTAGATGGCTTATGAGGTCCCCTTCTTTTAAAAGCTTTCGTTATATTTAGCTGAACTCAGTCTATATTTCGTATTTTTCACTTCAAAAAAATGTTTTTTCCCATTGACTTAACATGGGCACCAAATTTAGCGATTTTTGAGCTTTCAAAACGCCATAACTTCCGAACGGGTAGTCGGATCAAAATTTGGTTTGCAGATTCGGATTCCTGAGAAAATTCTACCCTTATTTCATAGCTCATATTTTTGGTTTTGACCTACTTTCAGGACGCCATATCTCAAAATCGCTAAGAGTAATCAAAAAACGGATGGTGTTGTGCGTTTCGGTTCGTGTTTGTGCGAGGTTTATATATCCAGATATTGAAATAACGTTTCTAACACAATCCAAGAGATCCAACAGGAGATGTTCGTTCGATGATTGAAGTGGAGTGACTCCCTGATTAGAATGCGTGATGTCAGCTATATACCCTCTCTGATGTATCAAGTGTCTTAGCCATATATGGCAAGTGACTCACCATATATGGCAAGGGAACAGAGTGGGAAGTTAGCAATACTAGCAAGTGAGTCAGGGTTCAGAGGTCGAGCTGATGATATAATATTAACCCTCCAAAACCCACCACCCAGATACCGTAACACTACCCCCCACGGACAAGACACTGTTGACTCCTGTCAACTGAACCAGAGGGCATATAACCTCCATCACCGCATTTCATCAGAATTCAAATCCAAAGTTTATTTATATTTTGAAACAAGTTCCAATAAACATACATGTTATAACATGAATAAATATAAATATCATTAATATTGCACAATCTTAATTATGTATATTATGCATAAGTGTGAACTACAGTAATCTTGCACCATTTTAATCATGCACATCCCAAATTATTAACTTCACAAGAAAACAGATTTACTTGATATTTTCACTTCATAATCAATCAATTTCATAAGCCATACCACCACCCTTAAGGTAGTCTTTTCAAAGAAAACCACGAATATCACAGTACTTAAGTGATATTTGAGGTAGTGGATCTTTATACACTGAAAGGCACTAAAATGTACTGCCATGCCATCTTTGTGGCGTAAATAGAAATATTTATACACTTCTAGCTTACAGCATCAATCTTACAAACCATTTCTTAAAGATAAAAGAATATACTCCATTTAACATATCATAGCAATATAGTTAAACCTCTACACAAAAATAGAATAAAAGTTGAAATAATTAATTTCAACATGCAAATAACATTCTAATTGTAATAACTAAGTTATAATATAATATACACATAAATACAAATCTGTTGAAATAGGCTAAAATGCTGCCTGATAAATATTTCCACTGGTCGGTTTTTTTAGGTTATTAAACTAGCCTACTCAAGAAATCACTTCTGCAATGCTTTGGCAGAGCCCTTATTTTGGATTTCTGGAGTAGACAAGATATTCCCTTGTATAACAGTATGAATACACAGTTATTTACAATAATACTATAATATTTAAAATCTCAATAACCATATTCTTAATTGACATAATAAATTCAATACTTCAAAACTCGGACAATATATGTATATAATCTTCCCCTCCCCCTCTACAAAAAATAAATAAAACCAATTGCACAAAAAGAATATCTACAAGATTCTTCTTCAAATATCAGTTCACATGTAACAAATCCTCAAAAAGTATTCCATCATTTCCAAAACAAAATAATGTACACATAATCACAAGAGCCAATGAAAGCGCTTGATGTGTTCAAAATTGCATCAAGGGTACTATCCCACATAAGGAACCAGATACTAATAACAGAAATAGACCATGCCGATCTTCAAGCAGCTTTTTTACCCAGCAAACCAGAAGATGAGTTATACACATATTTACTGACCTTTACAGAAATTATAACAGTACATTACACTGGTAAGGCTCAAAGAAACACCCCTATCTTGAAGAGTGTTGATGACGCTATTTTACAAACCCTAATGCAAAGGGTGAAAAACCGTTGCATCGGTCAGCTAAATTTCCTAAAATGGACAGTGCTAACTGGACGTCATCAATGCACTCTGAACTCTTCAAGAGAATGCAAGAGAACCCGCTTATTAGTTTGCACAAAGATTTTACATCTGCAGCAGGGAAAACACATATCTAAGGAACAAATTAAAACCTAGATTTAAAATCAAAATGAAAAAATACATTGTCAAAAGGATTTAATACAATTAGTTACACAAACATCCAACAAGGAATTTCTCAACATGCATGACGTTATAATCCGATCTTCAATGCATCTCTCAGAGGCGTGGCCTATCTCTAAGAACGTGAATGTGCTGCAAAAACTGCAATCTGCGTGAGTACACAATAATCAATATCAGACAATACTTTGTTTAAAAAAATATTGCTCAGTTTGCAATCAAAGTCGCAATTGAGTAAATAAAATGCAGTAAAATGCATATTAAAATCAAATCATACACAATGCAAACCTAATCAGATTAATTAAATTGAAAGTAGTAAACCTCTCAAAGGACAGAAAGAAACGATGCAGTAATATTGCGTTTTAATTTAAAACATAGAAATTAGTATGAACACATTAAAATGTCTATGTCTGTTAATCCAATTAAATTATTATAAATTAATCCAATGTGGGACATGCTAGTTATCTAAAACATAAATAGCACCAAGAGAACCATTTAAAAACTGAATCCTAAAATTACTTATGTGTAAATTGTAATGATAATGTTCTTCTGCATCTGCACTAATGCACAAGGTCCAAACCTTTAATCACACAGATGTTTCTGCTTACTAATGTATGTGGTAGTAAAAGCTTGGAGAAAATATCATTCATAAACCTTCAAACCAGAATTTGATATGTTCAGTGATTACATCAATTGCCAAAGCAGTAAATATTTAGTGTTATTTTGTTTTATCTTCCTCTAAATAAACCAGTCTAATTTTTCTAAAGCTTTTTATTAATTTCACTTGTTCAGTTTGCATTAAGCATATATTTCTTTAAGAGGTCAAAATAAATCAAAGTATATTATTGTTGAAAGGTTCTACATTGCATGCATTCATGTGATTAGTTTGTAAGTCTGAGACCATTTTAGGACCATCTCGAGGTTAACAATCTTCAAACAGATAAACAAATGTAGCTACTAAATGGTAAATAGTGTGGATGATCGCATGCCCATCAAGCAGGGAAGGAGTCTACTGGGATTGATTGTACACACAGTTAATATATAAATTTATCACTTAATCTCATTAATAAATTCACTTACATACTAATTATTAACAGATTTCAGGTTTTCAGGCTCGTTGAGAGGACCCCTTTAAACCAAAGCTAGTAAGTTATAACACAAGCGATGACCAGCAAGGAGAAGCTATTAGAACTATTATATCTTTGCTATATAACAGAAGCCTTCCCATTACTAAGGTCAAAACAACATCAACATTTGCACATAGCTCTCTTTCAGAGTACATTACCAATCAAGTAAAAATTAGCAGGGTAGTCTCCAATTTCAGGCATGCGCAGTACTGAGTTCCGGCAGCCATGTTTGATTATAAGATTTGTTAGAAAAATATAGTTTTGCTAAACTTGCTAGCAGAATAAGCCTAGAAATATACTTTATTCCCAACTAACACTGAAAAACTTATTCAATGCCTCCCCATACATTCAAGTATAATCCAAAGTTAATTAGATTTGATGTATTTATATGAATATCAACCACTGTTTGATGCGAGATTTTCAGTGTCAGTTAAAATTAAAACATATGTTATGACATCGGTTAGATAAAATTGTTGTTATATAATAATAAAAATACATGTACAGTCAAGCAGTTAATTACTAATCATATTATCAAATGTTAAGATTAATTATCAGTTAATGCAAACAATAGTTAAATGTCTTATATATTCAATCATATACTGATTTCTAATTCTTTATAGGCCAGAATTGTATAACTCAACAATATTATTCATTTATAATTTTTAGGTGGACCTGAAGCCTGTCACTGGCTGTAACTGTGTGACATCCACATATGATGACAAGTTAAACATACACGTTTCTCTTTAAATTGATTCAATTTTTACACATTGTGACATAAAATCACATGTAACCTTTGTAGAGTAGAGACACCATAGGTTATGTGACACAGTATTTCATGAATAATTATTTGACACAAGACATCTATCATTATGTGACATCATGCTACATACGTTTGTCATTTGAGATTAAGCATCACAATGTCAGATGACCTCTTATAAATAATTTAGTTGATGTGACACCACTTTACTCTGAGTGTCAGCTGACATGTGATACCCTATAACATTAGATGATGGTTGACATGTGACACCATGTGACATTGAATGATAGCTGACATGTGACACCATGTGACATTGAATAATAGTTGACATGTGACACCATGTGACATTGAATGATAGTTGACAATAATTGTCAATAATTAATTAATTAATTATGAAATTTTCTTTTTCAGACAATTCGACAGTTTACTTGATGTGCAATGAGAATTATTATAATCACTTCATTCAGTTTATAATATACATAAATAATATACAACCTGTATTCAATCATTTATAGCAGTACTTATTTGTACACTCAAACGCATGCAACTGATTAAATATATAAGATTAAATAGTGGCCATGATTATATAATAGTAAGGCCTAACCACACAATTTAAATAATGAATTGCTAAATCTTAATTACAATATTTTTCCAGGACTCATGGATCCAACACATACTCTTTTTAAAGATCTACACCACCTTCATTTTTTTGTATAAAGACTGGCACAATAAATAATGATGCTTTTCATTATTAATAATTTTCAACAATCTTTTACAGTGATATCCCTGACCCATATGATTCATAATTAATACTTATTTTATTTTCCAGAATAGATTTGATATTTAATAAATGCTGTATAGATCATCATTAATAATTAATTAGGGTTTTAATATACATTTACCTTTTCCAGATAGTCCTATAATGATTGGCAGGATTTCATTTTTTAGCGTAAACATTTCCAGATTGTATCTGATGAATACTATTTTAATTGATACAAACATTCTTATCATTCTGATACAGAATCACTCCCATGATACACTTAATGTTGTTAATAGAGTATATTAATATTTGAACTGAAACACCAGTTAATGTCTTTGGATGTGCAGTAATAGATCCATCAAAGAGACACCCCGGCCTTAAAGGAATTGGTTAAATGCATCGTACATCTCAATGTAACATTAGGACACACATGACACCACTAAGTATGGAGACAAGGGGACATGTGTTCCCAATGTCACAAAGGAATTGATACATTGCTCCTTCACATCTCAACAAAACCGGAAGCCTCTCAGACATTTGACCCATTAAATTACACATCTATTGTTCTTTTACCGATAGAATAGCAGCACATCAGCTCCATATGAAGACATTCGGATGACATCTAGTCAGCTTACAGTTCATAACAGCTCCCGATGCATACAGTCACTTGGTAATAAACAGGTTACTATCATCCTGCCTCTGAGTTCTTTAGTTCAAAGTATTAGTTCATCAATTAACTGGTCATCAGTTGGTTAACACTCTGTCATTAGGTTCATCTGTTACACTCGGGAAATATTAAATCATCATCCTCTCACTCTCCTTGGACTCGTCTCGTTCACTGGATGGGTACACAACATCTTGCTGTCACTAAGAGATGGCTGAGCAAGGTATCTGCAGTTGACATCCCCTTCTGGTGACAATTAACTTATCCCTGGATCGGGACACGACATCTGGCAGTCACACAGAAGACATCCTTCGCAGGCAGGGACATCTAGGTAGAGTGATACTTCTGTAAACATCTTCTTCTGGTGATAATTAGCTTATCCCTGGTTAGGGATACGGCATCTGACAGTCACCAAGAAGATATGGTGGGTGAAGCTCACGTCTGACCTGGAGTCATCACCTCTTCTCTCTGATCATCTCTTCAAAATATTCCCAGGGTTTACGGTTTGTGTGTAAATTGGACAGGTTTTTGAGTAGGAGACTTGAAGGGGCATTGGATGGAACTGATGGATATTCTTGATTATTATTGGTATTGACTTTAGTATTTTGGTAGTCAGCTGGGCAGGGGAATCAATTTAGTGAGTTTTAATTTAATTCAACATATGATGGACTTGGGCTATCTGGACTTGAGGACTGAATGGACTTTTTAAGATGAGTTAAATTTTTCAGCATAACATCTGGCACTTCATAGATCTTCAATTGAACATCTTGGAGGACATCTAGTGTACATCACTTCTAAGTTCATCAAACACGGAGTTGGACAGTCCAGTATCCCAGCAGTCATCTGTACCAGAGATATGCAGCTGTCATTATTTAAAGGCCATTGATTGTTGAAACTAGCGCAGCACCCCGAGCTGACTTCTGTAGGGTTCAGGGTAAATATCATAACATCTCTGCCCTTCAGGACTGGTGATAGGGAGCTAGTTAATATACATCTCTTTATACAAAGGTATTTCCTTCAGACTTTGGCCTTCGCAGAACAAATCTTGACAAGCGCAACATCAACTTGTGCTGACGAAAGTACTTGACACCAAAGATGACTGCAACTAGGCACAGAATCACTATGATGATAATCTGGATAACATCAACCACATTGTCCTTGATCAAGTCAACCAGTGATCCACTACTTCTGTTGATGCTCCAACGGTTCTCATTTTTGATGTTCTGCAAAACACCTTCCATATCCCTGGAGAACTCATGATCGTCTGTGGTCAAATCTTCAGGATCGGGAACTCTTGGCAGCTTTCCAAGGACACTGTCAGTTAGGTTGCCTCGCATCACACTGCTTAGAGACTCCCAATCCAGAGGTTTCAGATCCAGAACTTTTTCTGCAAATGGCTGATTGATATCACTGAACATGTCTATACCCTGCTGTGAACGATCACAAACAGATGTCATATGTGACCAAGTCTTCCCCGATGACATCAAAGTGCATCCACAAGGCAACTTCAGGAGGCAACTTGCACACACTGATTTTACCACATTTGGATCAGACAAACAATGCATACGGATTCTATTCACTGGGTTTGAGATCAGCAAATACTTGTCAACTCTCTTCACTGAGGTCACATTGTAGTGCAAGGACACAGCGTAGCTGCAGCTAGTTGTAGACTTTCTTAGGAATAGGTTTCCCAAACAGGACTTGTCATCCAAAGCTTGTATCAATAAAGGAGCTGCACATTTCATTGGCGTTCCACTGCAAGATCCAAAATCATTACTGGATAGCAATACCTCTGACTTCAAATCTTCAGAAATTCCATAGTATTCAGGAACAGAAGTTATTGTGGTTGCCGTCTGATTGTTTGGAAGAAACACAGGGTATCTCAAAACATGATACACATGGAACATGGTGGACCGAGCTTGGAAGGGGACCTGTATTTGGATATACAAGGCTTTTTCAGAAGCTGAAGCAAGCACACAATGGGCATTGTAGTAGTAAGCCACATTGGGATGCGTCAGGATCAAACCTTCCGTATCTTCTGAGGCTAAAGCACTCTGAATTCGCTCCAAAATGGCAGTCAATTGAGTAGGACCCACAAGTTGCATCGGCAAACGACCCTGGAGGATTGGTCCGATGGCAGACATCCACTGGGTGAACAGACCTTCAGCTTCAGCAATCAACTGGGCATGAGAAAACAAGCTTCTTACAATTGCTTGGGTAGTCAACCAGGCAAATTTTTGGCTTACTTCAAATGCCTTGCACAACGGGAAACACTATTTTGTAAGCACTACTAAGAAAGAATACTTTATGTGTTATCCATAAGTGATAACCACGACTAACTACTAATTCTCAGGAATAAAAAGTTCACCCTATTGAGAGATAGATAGAGCTTATCCTCGGACCAGTTACTTCTTATCCGTGTGTCATATGACTACTGTGTTAATTAACTAAGTAAAGTATTCCAATTAAAAAGTGTTGTATGTTTGCATGCAGAAAGCGTTTAATAATTCTTCGCATACATAATATTGTCCATAAAAGAGTCTGATATATAATATTGTCCATAAAAGATCGGTCTGATAATTACAAGTAACTCATGTTTATTTTAAAACTATTCTTTACGAATTTATGATAAGTGTATAATGTTCAATCATACAAATCGCAGTCAGTTATTGTTCTCCACACTCACCCCTCCCCCTTCCTGACATGAACTATTTTGTAAAACCATTGACAGTGTGGAAAGGATTCTTACACTCGAGTGTCAAGGGGGGGGGGGGGGGCAGTTATAAAAATATACAAGGCGATGGTTCAAATTGGACAATTTTCAAAACTGCTCAACATGGTGAAAACTTCACGTTTTTAAAGAATGCTTGCCCGGCGAGTGGTTTGCTCTGGATTGCGAGAGAACAAAAACTTTGAATTAGGATTTTTCCTAATACTATCATTAATCTAAACAACTTTTTAAACCGTCTCTGATTACATATCATGCCAATTAATACCATTATTGTGTTGACAGGATTAAATATGATATCTATGGAATTATAATTTAACAAACTCAATAGTCTAAATGATAATAAGTTCATAATTTAGTCTTGGCTGACTAGTCTTGCATCATCAGAGTTGGATTGCAAATACCTCCCTAAATCAAATAATTTAAATTTACAAATTTACTAGTGTACGGGGTGGGGAAACAAGTCTCCATCCAACCACTAAAGTTTAAAAGGAAGACTATAGTGTCCCGTGAATTCATTATAATTATCTTAGACAATAGTGAAGCGGTACAATCATGGGAGTGTTAATTAATCGGAATGCAAGTTTGATTTAAAATAACTCCTTTGGATCAAATATTTAAATTCTACTAGAATGCGGGGAGTGGAAACAAGTCTCCATTCAAGCACTAAATATCAAAAGAAAGATTTCAATACCCCTTAACTTCACTCCCGGACTTCACTATTCACCACCACCCCCCCCCCCTTCCCCAGTTATCCCTTATGACCCCAGAATGTTCGTTTCTGTGCCCCTCCCCCTGTCCATGGCCAGTAAGTAATCTATGTGTATATTGGCTCCCTCCCAAAGGTGGGAAAACCAGATGCAGGCATACACATTGACAAGGTGAGGGGATTTAAATATAAAAATAGTCTTGTTTTTGGCTCCGACTGAAATATTTTGGCACTGTTTAACGAAGCCGGTTTAAGGAATGAGAGGCAGAAATAATTCCTAGAAATAAGATGGCCTGTCTTTACTGTAATCAAGATGCTACCTAACCGCAGTTATTTTGGTTTTATAACGACGGGGATATTGCTCGAGCTTGAATAACAAATAAAAGGCATGTTCTTATTTCTGTATTCTGTCCTTTGATTGTGTATTAAGTTGAGCTGCACGCCAAACGTTAAGATTGTTAAAACGCTTAAAATAAAACCTTATTCCTCTCAATTTACATAAAAATGAAACAGATTAGATTCGAATCTCAGTCACACCAGCCACTGGTCAAAGGAAGTACAAATATCTATATTAATCAAAGTCTGAGAATTTGATAACTGTCTGGGATCCAATGTTAATTTTATTGAATCAAACTAAGAAAAGTATAAAGATGAATTTTAAACGTTTAGAGGAAAAAGTCAAATATGCATTGTAACCCTAAAAATAATTCATTAAAGTGTCGTACACATTTCATAACATTTATATAAATAAAACAAATAAAGCACAACCCTAATGCCCTAATGAATTCATATCGGCGCTAAACGGCCCTTGCAATAAAAACGCATCGAAGCAGGGAATGGTTGGAAAATTCTTCCGAGACTGACTTTTGTTATTTCAAAATTGAAATATGCCTAATTCCTATGAAATAATCAAATAACCACGCGATCTTTTTCCCTGGGTTTTACTCTATTTTAGATTTACTGGAAAAATGTTTATATGATGATTGCGTTTGCTTCTCATGAGTTCATTGAAAATTTCAGTCGTAAAACTTTAGAGATCAAAAGACTAATTAGGCACCTGATTGCGAAAGTTTGATTGCACTTCGATCGCCAGGATTTTACAAACGTATTGTTTAAGTAGCGATCGTGTTCTTGGGATCTTGATAACTTCCTATTTTAGGTTTTGGGTTGAAAGCAATGAGTATGTCGGACTTTTTAAGTCCACATAATGAAACAATATCCCTTTATATTAGTCCAATCGGAATTTGCATAAACATACCAGTTTTTTATTGCAAAAAGAACTGTATATAATAGCCTACATAAAAGCATCATGATAAATAAAACATTAAAGCATATATAAAGCCTATTGTTATCAAAATCCATAAATCCTCACCATATAAATATAGTTTTATTGATGACCAAAAACAGATATCAAGGGCGTAGCCAGCTTTCAGGGGGGGGGAGGGGTGCGATTGCCAAAAAGATTTCGGTTTTCAGTCAGGAGGGTATGATTGTGGCATTTTAATGCTCCTTTCTTCTTCTTTCTCAGCGTTTTATTTTTATTGTTATGGGGGAGGTTGTGATCGCACCCCCCCCCTCCTGGCTACGACTATGGATATTTTGGCAACTTTCACGTTTACCCCGCCCCCTAATAATTTTTGCACCCCCTCTAAATATCAGACCCGTCAGGCGTTGAGGCATGGATCAGGATACCCTGACTCCCAAGCTGTGCGACTTCTGGCAACCGCTACACCTATATTCCCGGGGAAAACGCTTTTAGAAAAATTGTCAAATATGGTCGTGTGTGGGCAAACACGGAGGAGGAGGAGAGGGGTGCGTGCATTGCGTGCGACCCTTCATCAGTTGTGTACCTTATTTTTGTATGAATTTCTTCCAAATAGTTATGCTAGAGGGGTTCTGATATTTATTTCTGTTTTCAAATGAAATAATTTCACCCTTGCCCGACTGACTTGTAGATAATGCACGAACTAAACCCGGGGAACTAAATAGCATGGAGATCAGATAATCAGATTGATTCGTATTTTCGCAATCAGATTAACTTATTGTTTTCTCTGATTAAAAGGCGGTTTGAAGCTACTTTTACAGGATTTGTAAATTCGCAATCAGACTGGCTTATTTTAATATTTAGTCAGTGCAAGAGGAGGGGACTATTAATGTAGAAAATTGTTTTGATTTCGACACTAACTGAATAATTTATCACAATTGTTAAATACGCAAACAGAAACAGGTTTAAAAATGAGAATAGAGGCAAAAAAGTCTATTCATAAAATGTAATTAAAATCCGGGAATTAAAAGCAATTTTAGACTCTTCTGTAATCAAGGTGATGTTGGTACAATTCCGCCGTTAGAAAAACAAAGACTAAGACAAAGACTATATAGCAATTAATCCTTTTGTAATCATTAAATGTTAGATTCTTATTATTTTGTTGGACAATGTTCAGACTTCTGAGCAAGATTAAATCATTTATGTTTGTATTTAAAAAATAGTATTTCAATCAGACAGACGTGCTAATGAGTTCGAAAAATACATTTGTCCATTTCCTCTCAAGAAGTTTTCAAAGGTAATCAAGTCGATTTGTTTGAGTGTTTAGCATTGTTTTTCATAACTTGACGCTTCCATGAACAGAATGACTTTGAAATGAGTTTTTATAATTTTAGCTTTTATACGGACATGCTTATTGTATATTTCTATATGAACGTTGTAGGTATGTGATGTAACATCGCCCCCCCCCCCCCAAATTACAGGTATACAAATTTTGATCGGAATGCATTAACTTGCAATTAAAAGCAATTTTAGACTGTTAGATGATCTCTTATGTAATCTAGGTGATGTTGGTACACTTCCGCATTTAAGAAAACAAAGACTAAGACAAAGAGAACACTAAGCAATTAATCCTTTTGTTATCATTAAATGTTAGATTCTTATTTTTTGATTGGACAATATTAAGACTTCTGTCTCCGATTGTTATGCAGGTATGTGTATAAAATCATGTGAACAACATTATCGTGGAAACTCCCATCTTCATTCTCATAATGTCTTACAGCTATTTCGCAAATGACATAATCCTAAACAACATATGGACATAACGATAATATTGCATAACTGAGCGAAAAGAAAGGTGGAACAAATCAGATTAAGATATTTTATTTTTGAAATGCACAAAGGGCAACAGTTGAAGAACAAAAGTTAAAGGTGTTTTGAAATAGATCGTGCTTTTATATGATCCCCTTCTATAATACCCTACCCTTTGCATTTGTTCGACTTCACTTCTTAAATGAGAGTTTCGTCTTCTCGTAGTTTATAACTAGACTCTGCACGCAGCGTAATAGTGCCCCTATCATCCATGTTCAGGGGCGTAGCCAACTTTCAGTCGGGGGGAGGTGCGATCGCCAAAAAACAATAACGGTTTTCAGTCGGGGGAGGGTGTTGCGATCGTGGCAAAAGCAAGCCAAAAGATGCAACTTCCTTCAAAATTGAGCTTGAAGCTTCTATCTCTTCTTCTATTTCTTGGTTCTACATCTATTTTATTGGTTATGCACCGCAACCCCCCCCCTGGCTACGCCTATGCCTGTCGAGAGACAAAAAGAGAAGCGAAAAGACTGTTAAAACAAGTACTTCCAATAAATACAGTTATATGTGTTTATCAATACCCTTTGCATTCGTTTGACTTCACTTCTTAAAAGAGAGCTTCGTCTTCGTAGTTTAACTAGACTCTGCACGCAGGGTAGTTTATCAACGTCCCTACTTGTCAAATTAATAG